GAAGGGAAGGGAAGGGAAGGGAAGGGAAGGGAAGGGAAGGGAAGGGAGGAAGCAGTTGATTCCAATCTTCTCTACAGAAAGTATAAGTAAAATTATCAGTTTACCTCTTACTCTATGGCTGTCAACTCATAAAACATTTTGTATATATGTTTCATAGTTGACAACATAAAGAAGGGGGGAGTTTTGTAGAGCAGGCAGCAGTGTGGAATCAAAAGTACATTCCATTCATATTTTTTTCAAACACCGATTAGATGACTGAAGCTTCTGCCATGAGGTCAAAGGGGCCCTACGAAATCTTCTGGGCTCTCAGGAGAAGGAAGATGCATCTCCTGGAAGTCTGTGAAGGAAAAACTTGGTCTCCTTCCAAGTCTCTCTGTATATCTTATTCTACTCACCACCAGCAATGGTTTTTCCACAGTGGTGGGATTCAAATTGTATAGATGTAAATTCCAATAAGTCTCATTGGCTCAATGACGTTTGGGAATCTACCTGCCACACCCTTCCTTCCTATGTCCTCATTTTGATTTAATTAGTTAAAGTGGAAAGAGGAAAAAAAGATCCGGAGAAGTTACCTTCCTGTGATATGCTACTCAAGGTATTTCCAGAAGGATCTTTCCTCTCTTCAATGTCCCCTTGACTTCCACCTTCCTATGGTTCCTTCAGATTTTGTGAAATGAGGAACAAAAATTATTGACTGTCCCTCAGCTCTTTGGGAGCCAATCAAAGATTTGGCACAATAGAACTCCATTATTCAAAAATACTACATTTTAATATTATAACTATAAGGAGAAGACTGCGTTGGGCAATGAGTGGAGATAGATAAAGAGCAGAACAATTGGAATAAAAGATGTGTATCTTGGACAAAACCTCTGTTTGTTTTTCTGAATTTTCATTGATTTCACCCTAAAATACATCCAGAATTCCCATGTGAGTGGAACAGTAGGAGGGCAGAATCTGGAGACCCAAATTGGACAGTCTAGAACTGCGCCACCTGTGGTCCAACCTAAGCCTTGTTCACAAAATTATCTTCTAGAACAACTTCTTGCCTGTCAACGACTTCTTCAGCTTCAACCACAATAAAACACAGGCAAACGATCGATACAAACTCAAGGTAAACCGCTCCAAACTCAATTGCAGAAAATACGACTTCAGCCCCAGAGTGGTCAATGCCTGGAATGTACTACCTGACTCCATGGTCACAGCCTCAAACCCCTCACAGCTTCAACAGCCTCAACCTGTCTACTGTGGACCTCCCCACATTCCTTTTTTTTTTTTTAATATAGTTTATTAATTTTTACAATTAAAACCAGTCACAATACATACACAAATAAGCAAAAGAAAGAAAGAAAAGAAAGAAAAGAGAAGAGGAAGAGAGGGAAAGGATTTTAAGAAAGGAAAGAAAGAAAGAGGTTACAGGATTAAAAGTATTCTTATTTTAACAGTTTGCAAGATCTTCTTTTGTTTTCATCACCTTAACTTGTGTCATATAATCACACCTGTTTTTAACTTATATCGCTACCTCGTTATTATGTATTGATACTTTTCTTTTATGCCTTATAATATATTATTTATCTTTGGTCAATCCAATTATACCAACAATTCCAGCTGTCATAGTATAGTGAAGTGTCTTTGTTTTTTAGTGCCAAAGTCAATTTATCCATTTCTGCGCATTTTGAGATTTTTTCAATAATCATTTCTTCTGATGGAATTTGGTGTTGTTTCCAATGTTGAGCGAAGGCTAATCTGGCCGCTGTTAAAATGTGTATTGTTATGTATTTGGCTTTTTTGGAAATTTGCTTATCAAAAATCCCTAGTAGGAAGGACTCTGGTTTGTATTCGATCTGCTCTTTGGTGATTTCTTCCAACCAAGTTTTGATTTTCTTCCAATACTTTTGGGTTTCTGCACAGGACCACCACATATGGAAAAAGGTTCCTTGCTGGAAGTGTAGGGACCTCCCCACATTCCTAAGAGGTCCTTAAAGGGGGCGTGCATAAGCGCACCAGCATGTCTACCGTCCCTGTCCTACTGTCCCCATTTACCTCTATTTACTTCCTTTGTTCCTGTGCCTATACTTGTTATCTTGTACATGTTGGACAAATAAATAAATTAAATTTAATTAATTAATTAATTAGGAAGAAGCAGCTTCCCATTTGCAAGATGAGGCAACCCTTTTCCACTTCCCTACCTCAGGCAGGATTGTAGACTGTTGTGTCACTTGGCAAGTAAGACAAAGGTAGCAAAGAAATTGGAGATGGAAACTCTTCATTGTTTCTTTGTGATAGTGTGGAATATCTGGAGCTCAGGTGTAGGATGAAGATGGAGGTTCATTCTCTGAGCTTATGGGTCAAATTCCAAATGTTTTGT